TCGTAAAGTTCATTTCAAAGATTGAGATACGGCCCTTCCCCTTCCCTGCGACAAAGTGCGACCCCGTCTAATGGGATTCTCCCAACAGTGCTGTATACCCTGGCTAGAGGTGCTTTTTTGAAGGAACATTGTACGTGTGCCTGGGGATCTTTTCCGTGTGTAAGGAGGGACAGGGTCAGAGCTGCAGAACTGTTTCACTATCGTCTGTCGACTGCTGTGTGAGGAGGGTAAAGGCTTATGTCTCCTGTATAGAAAGCCATGTGGTCCCAGCTCTCTTTTAGTGAGTACCGGCGTGCGGCATTGACTTTCGTAAACAGAACATATCCTGTCGCTGGGGATATTTTTTGAAGAATGCGGCTTTTCTTGGAAATCTTTCTTTTCGTACGACCCCTTCCCCATCCCCCATCCTAACTACTATCGTGCCGAATTTTTCCAATTTCCTGTCTTTTTCCGTTTTTTTTTTCTAAAGTTGCCCTCCCCCACTAATCCCATCATGCCCTACATTTCCTCCAAAAAGTGTCGCCAAGCGCAACTGGGAGGAATCGGAATACACCCCACTCAAAGCGGCAAAAATCAAAAAAAAAGTCCACACCGGATACACTTCGTCCAGAGCCGAAATCGACCCCTCCCTCCAGCGATCGAAATCGACGCCACCTCCTCGATGAAGTTCTCAACGCGACATGCCCTGTAGAGTTACTTTAAAATTCAAATATGCCGACGTTATACAAGGGATAGCTAAATTCAGGATTCATGCTCTTCAATTCTCAGCGACGCTCCCAACGATGATCATCACCTCGGTCGACCAGGCACGAGCGGAGTATGTTTAATTTCAGCGATATTTCGAAAGAGAATTCACTCAAGATCCGCTTTCCGTTAAAAAAAGACGCGTTCCAGTCGAAATGGTGTGATGAGCCACTCCATGTGGAAATATCAATGGACACAGATGTTCATGTACCGGATTCTCCGAAAATGGCAGACCTATTTGAGGCGGTCACGAGGTATGATTTTCTGGTGTTGAGGGTTCAAAATTGTCTACCTGTCCACTTTCATTATACTACAGTTGCTGGGGGCATTTTGCGGACAGGAACTAGTAAGAGAAGTTACCGAACCAGGAGAAGCCCTCACTGCCCTTACCCCCTCCCCCCAAGCCGGCGCATTCCCTGTTCCAATCAGGAAGTTGGACTCGGTGGGGCATGAAACGGTATTCAGCGAGGCGTGTACAGGCCAACTTGTGAATACCTGTGAATTCTTGTAGCTAAGGTGGCTCACTTGTACCATTTCGCAGCTTCACAAGATGAACAAGTTGGTTAACATGAACTAACAAAATGAACTAGCGAAAATGCATAATGCCTCCACCAACTAAGCCGAGGGGCGCCGCCAAGACATTCCAATGGCGACGGGGGCGAAAGCGATGCTTAAAGGAATTCGCACTTACGGTCGGTAAACCCAGGCACGTAGCTGATGGTTTTTGGAACTGTGTGAAGCAAACGCCAGGCTCGGGTCTCTTGACCTGCACACTTGACCTTAGCTAATACAGGGGAGGGGGCAAAAAAGACACTTTGGCCGAGTCACATATCAGTAAAGTTTACGCAGCCCAGAGAGAAGACGTGGATACGAGTACCAGGGCGAAGATACCCAAGATGTTCCTCGATGAGCAGGAGCTGGCTTTCGTTCATCACCTTCATGTACACCAAAATATGAAGCCTTTCCAATCGCAGCCGGACTGGAGAAGGCCTATGGAATTCACGTCACCTCCAAACAGCTGCGAAACTTCTTGAATGGAGTCACCCATGGACAGCTACCTGGAGACCGGCACTCTTGATCTGGAAGACCTCCAACATCGAGCAGCTCCGACAACGTCGCTCTAGGATATCATCTTCACCGCAGTCGCCAAGGAGCGGGTTGATGGTATGACCGGAAGTTTCCATGGAAATGGAGAGACCGATATTTTTTCGTGGATCTTTCGATTGAAGGTGAGTCGCTGACTGTCAAGGTCGAGCAGCTCGACGGGAATATCGCTGCCTTCATGGTCATCGCCTGTAACCAGCTCGAAACTTCGTACTGCTACATGGATTGCGCAGGGATGCCACCAATGAATCGCAAGGACGTTAGAAACCCTCGCCTACATCGAATGGAAGCGTGTTTGAGTGCCTTAAAAAGACTGCATATTCAAGGTGTGTTCTCTTGACCTGAACCCCTCGATTTCGGGCGGAGCTCAACAGGGTGGTCTACAGTGGCGGAGAAATCAACGATCTCGCTGAACTCAGGCACCGAATCACGGTCGCGTGGCAGAATCTCGATGGCGCTCGTCCAGAAGGCTGTGGCGGAGTTTCGTGATAGTGTACAATGTGTTGTTGAATATGGTGGTGGAAATGTCCAATCAAAATTTAATAAAGTGTAACTTATATCGCCTTGAAAGTCGAGGAAGAAAAGTGTCTTTTTTTATTGCCCCCCCCCTGTATAGCCCAGCGATAGTTTGCGAGTAAGTTGGACTTGTAGAAATACGAAGTGGTTATTGGAATTCTTGTTAGAGTTGTGAAAGTAACGCTATTTGCAGCCCTGGGATGATGTTAAATGATGGTGTTCGAGCGAAGATGGCGCTGCTGGCGCAGCAGATCATTGATGCATTACCGGATCGCATAAAGGTATGTTTTGAAGGTTATTAAACCGCTTTCTTTTTCTTGAGAAATTCCCATTCGGGGAACCTGATTCTGTTTCAGAATGACGCTCATCCACTTCTTGATGTGGAGTCGATGTCAGCTGATGTCACTGCACAGTCATCATTTGCCTATCCAGACAATAACCCATTCCTGTCCCATCTTACCCATGACTGTCCGGCTGACTGGGAGTTTCAGCAGTACTTCGCCAATAACCATTATCAGTAAGTTCTTTTATTGTGGTCGCCCATACCGAAAATTATGTTGCTCTCAGAAAAAGCCAGCGCGAGGGAAAACAGTAGGGTAAAAGGGTTGTAGGAAGGGATAGAGGTTGGTAGATTCCTAGAGGGTTCATTCAGTTGTTGCCAGCCTATGGATTCAAACACATGGATGACACCAAGTAAGTGCCCTTACCTTTGGAATCATTAACTTCCACGGGTCATAAAACCCTCGAAAAACGTCTTAGAAGAAAACCGTACGTAAACCGATAAAAACATATGAA